ATTAATAAGATATCATCACCATGGCGAGGGTGGGAGCGATGATAACTTCCTCAATGCCTCAAGGGGGCGTTTCTTTCAAAAAGGTTAAGAACCACTGTCCAAACGGATAAAAACAGGAAACAAACATGACCACAGGGTGAAAAGCTTTTTCAGCAAACAGAAGTCAAGCTGACTGATACGGATGTTTCTCCAGAGGCAGGGGGTCTTCTGGACACCCCTTTGGATTTCCCAGCCCCAGGGAAAGTAAAGATGTTCAGTGATAGAGAGCTGCCTCAGTGTTCAAGGCAGTGCCGTTTCTCCAAAACATCAAAATCCACTCCCTGAATAAGGACCAGAACACAGGAAAGTGTTCTGCCATGTGTTTCACACAGGAGGCAGGCTGAAGTGCAAAACGGGTTTGCTGAGCAGGCTGGGGCTTTTCCAATTACCTTGAGCACCTCCTTGAAATTTTTGCGCCAACACTGGAAAAAAAATAATCAACTGAGGCGTACAAGCTTTGGAAGTTCAAACAGTGCACACAATCACTCAGAAACAGTAGCTACGTACAAAGAAACCTGCTGTACTCAACAAGAACAAGGGCCTACATTCAATATCACACTTGGGAGTGGCTTCATTTCTCGGTCCCCTCCTCCTTCCAAACCTCCCAGCACTTCCACTGGGCCAAAAAACATACTCCAGAGAGTTCTGCACCCAGGATGTCAGGGTGCGCAAAAGGACTACAGTTGGGGCAAGGAAGGGCTGTGCGCTCCCACATTTGCTTGACACTCCATGGGCACAAGCTGAGGTCGAGCCTCAAAACAGCCCCATTAACTTGGCGTAGGATTATCAATCTCCTTTGGGAAGACTGAGGAAAGCAGCAACATACTCTGAGAACCACAAGCTAAGATCACAACGCTCTTTTCTGTAAGACAACGCCAAAAATGCTGCAAGTCCTTCAGCTGCTTTGGAGAACAAAGCAAGGCGCAACTGGAAGAGCACGCGAAGACTCAGCAAGACACGGAAAGCGTTGTTTGAGCAAAGTCACTAGATGGCACTGCAATTCCCTCCCTTTGTTACTAAGTTAAGGACAAAACCTAAAGTTCCCACTCCGTCCATACATGCCTCTCCACCAAGCCTGGCAGACACTCCATCTAAGCACCATGCAGCTGAAGCGGCATAAACACAACCCTGCCAATCCTTGGCTGCCACTATCACCCAAGAGCGACTTGCTCCTGAGAGCGCCACGAGGGGTCCCATGTGTTGATGCAATTCGCGCAGGCCCAGCGCCCGCAACCACGTGCTCTGTGGAGGTTTCCAAGCGGCCGGACTTGTTTTGCAAGACAAAAGGCATCGTGTTCATTCCTCCGTTCCCCTGCTTGCTTGCGTTCCCTTTGAAACCCTGAAGCAAAGGCCCAGAACCCAATTTTTCTCCGGTCCTGTGGCACTTGGGCCTCGAAACCAAGAGAGGATACCTGTTTGCCCCGGTAGAACAGCCTCTGCCTGTCGGGCTCCACTCCAAACGTTTCGTGGATCCTCTGGCGGAGATCTTCCACCTTGGTGAGCTTGGAAAGGGAATCCACACGGCGCGTCTCCTTCCCGTCCATGGTGCGCACCTGGATCCACATGGTGGCGGGAGTCTGTCTGAGGGACTGACAAAAGAATCCCCATTAGGAACACGTAGAGGAAGATGGGGGAGAAGGAAGCAGGGACAAGAGGAATGACACCATTCTGCCCAAACAACACCTTCCACACAAGGGGACAAAAACCACCACTTCCACTGGCCACGGCTTTCAAATTAGTTCCTCTCTATCGAGACCCTCCAAGACGGATACTGAGCGAGAACACTTCTACTGGCCAATGTCTGTTTTCCCTTTTTTCCAACTTCTTCATCTTAGCAGCTGCTTCTTAGTTCCCCACCCCATCCCAAGCAAAATATACAGTGTCATTTCTTCCCAGCCAATTTTCCCACCAGTTTCTAACCCCCCCCCCGGTCTCCAAATCCCAATGGTGGGACTGTGTTCCACCCCCCTTAGCAAAAAACATCAGCTAGGCCCCAAAGTCCACATGCCTGCAATACATCCTTCTTTCTCCAATATAATCCCCAGTAGCCTCACACGGAAACACGGCCCTGTCTGACAGCTCCCCTTATCATTCCCCTTGGTCTGCAATCCTCCCCCCCCCCAGTCTGCCAAATCCAAGGGCTCCGTTTTCCACACCATTCCCACCACGGCCAGCCTCCCTCCATGTTGCCACCCCTTCCTCCGCCGCCATTTTAAGCCTAATAATCCCTCCGCCCACCCATGTCCTTCCACCAAATCGATCAATAAGAAGCACCTTCTCCTCTAACTTTGCCATTCTTAGTCTTTATTTTAATGCATGGAAAGGAGTCCTTCTGTGCTGCTAAGACCTTTCATTTCCGTTGAACTAACTCCTGACAGTTTGCCTTCATGTCCATTTTATTTGAAACTTAAAACTACACAGGATGCTTCTATGCAAAACTGAGCTCTAACATTCCACCAAGCAAGAAGGTAAAGCTTACTTTGGGATTTATTTGGCTTCAAAGGCATTGTTTATGTGTTTTTGACAAACCGACCAGTTATTTCCCTTGTCCTTTTTTCTTTTCTTTTTGAATCTCCTGTGCACTATGGTTGCTTCTTTCACCTATACACAGAATTGTTCCCGCCCTTATACGGGCTTAGGTGCTCACTCTTAACTTTCTGAGATATAGTAGAACCCACATTTCCACCCAAAACCCTATTGGCACAAACAGTGGGGATTGTTAACATGGACTGCAATTAAAAAAAAAAAAAAAAAAAAAAAAAAAAAAAAAACCCAGAAATATCCAGCATACGTATTCATTCGGTCCCTAGGATTGTTTACAAACATCAATATAAGGCAAATGAATGGCCCTGTGCAAGATTTTCTGATTTGATGACATTTTATCTTCCCCAAACGGAGTCCTCCTCTTTCCGCAATCTTCCCAGCCCCTTCTCCCCTCCATGGCGCCTCCTGGCCACATGTGCCAGGAGATTGGGGCAACCTCCCCGCCCCCAACAACACAATCCTGGATGGATAGAGATCAATTTGATTTTTTTTAAATGAGTGATTTAAGCCACAATTCATGTGAAATCAAATGGATTGGAATCAGTTTAAATTTTTAAAAAACATCTAATTATTTTTTAATTTTAACTGTCAAACCCGCCCCGATTTTTTTTTTAATCCACCAGGCCAGGGACCCTTACGATTTGCCCCCTGCCCAAGCTTTCGGGACCCTGAAATCCCAACCCCACCTCGTTTTTCCACTCCCACTTCAATCTCTCCTCACCCATATCCCTTCCGCGTGTCCTCCCCCAATATTTAACTCCCCAGATCCCCCCACATGCCTCCCATGGAGCCCCAGAGGCCCCCAGGACCCGCACCCCCATTTCCTAAACCCCTCAAACTCCCAAAGCTATTACCCCCCAATTTTCCACATACACACACACTTCGAGGGCCCCCACTCCCTAGCCCCCCACTTCTCAGGGCCCCCAGAAGGGAACGCACTCCGCCTTCCTCTGCCCCCCAAGTCGACCCCTCCATTTCCACACCCCCCGTGGCCTCCTCCACAAAACGACCCCCACTTCTAATCCCCATTACTCTGACCATGCCCCCCCCGTAAGAAAAAAAACCCGTCCATTTTAGGTCTTATTTACAACACATAGATATGATAAATATGTTGATGCTCCCCATGAGCCCGCTCGCTCCGACACCCCCCCCAAAAAGCCACTTCTCTAACGGCTCCTTTTACCTCACAAACGGCTTAACGTTACGTAACGTACGTTCCAAATATATTTCAAGTTACTTCTCTCCTCCCCACTTTTTTGTGGGGGGGGTCCCGCCTCACCTCAGCCCTCGGCTCTTTCCCCCCTCAGAGCCTCTCGACCGCCTCACAAACCCCTTCAGCCGTGACCTCTCTACTCAACTTTAACCGCCCCCCCCCGCCATTCCAGCCCCTCCAACGGGCACCGGCTCCCGCTCCCCCCCCCTTGGTCACTTCTCTAACGGCTCCTTTTACCTCACAAACGGCTTAACGTTACGTAACGTACGTTCCAAATATATTTCAAGTTACTTCTCTCCTCCCCACTTTTTTTTGAGGGGGGTCCCGCCTCACCTCAGCCCTCGGCTCTTTCCCCCCCTCAGAGCCACTCGACCGCCTCACTAACTCCTTCAGCCGTGACCTCTCAACTCAACTTTAACCGCCCCCCCGCCATTCCAGCCCCTCCAACGGGCACTGGCTCCCGCTCCCTCCCCATTGGCGGCAAGGAAACCAACCCCGAAGCCCATTGGCCCTTTGCTTGCACGAAGCCCCGCCCCCTCCTCCCTCCAACGAGGTAGGCTGCGCGGCTGGTGGCCCCGCCCCCTCCTTGCGATACCCTGACGGTAAGAAGCGCTCAGGCTCCTCGCGGACCTGGCCGAGGCGCGCGCCACAAATTGAAAAAGGCGGGGCGGGGCCACGGATGGGAACGCCCCCGCGTGTCGATTGGCTCGAGGGGAAACTCTCGCGACATTATGCAAAACGATTGCAACAAAAAGGAGGGAGAAAAGTGTTTCCGCATTTAAAGCGACAGGCACCCAGTTTAGGTGGCTATACTATATTATTTTCTCCCCATTGCATAAAAATCAGTGAAAAATATAATATAATACAATATACTACAATAGTGATTCCCATCTATTTTTAAAGAGAGTTGTTCAATCAAAATAATTTCGTTTGCCATAAACATGAAAGATTCAGTTAGGCATCCTTCAGTCTCAAAAGACTATGGTAACATGCTCTGTATTGAGGACTTGGAACAGCATCTAGTGTGGCTGAGAGGGCCAATTCGAGAGTGACAATCCCTTCCACGCTGAAGACAAATACAATCTGTCCCCTGCCCAGCTCCCTGGTTTTGCTGCTTTTGTGACTTCCTCTTTGCCTTGGCCTGCTGGACAAGGTTCCCTTCAAATTAGGAGAGGCCACAATGCACCGCCTGCCTCCAGGCTGAACGGTCAGATGTCAGGGTTTCCCATCTGTTGAGGTCCATTCCTAAGACCTTCAGATCCCGCTTGCAGATCTCCTTGTATCGCAGCTGTGGTCTCCCTCTGGGGCGATTCGTCATCGTTTAGTTGTGTCCAACTCTTCGTGACCCCATGGACCAGAGCACGCCAGGCCCTCCTGTCTTCTACTGCCTCCCGGAGTTGTGTCAAATTTATGTTGGTTGCTTCGCAGACACTGTCCAGCCATCTCATCCTCTGCTGTCCCCTTCTCCTCTTGCCGTCACACTTTCCTAACATCAGGGTCTTTTCCAAGGAGTCTTCTCTTCTCATGAGATGGCCAAAGTACTGCTCCCTCTGGGGCGATTACCCTGCACTAATTCTCCAACATGAAATACAAACTACATTTTACATGCACATCACATTGAACTCCTATTTCATCCTCCTTGGCGTTCAATTTTTCACTCTCCATAGATTATCTTATTAGCCCCTGTCGTTGTTTAGTCATTAAGTCGTGTCCAACTCTTCATGACCCCATGGATCAGAGGCCGCCAGGCCCTCCTGTCTTCCACTGCCTCCCGGAGTTGGGTCAAATTCATGTTGGTGGCTTCGGTGACCCTATCCAACCATCTCATCCTCTGTCGTCCCCTTCTCCTCTTACCTTCACTCTTTCCGGCTTGAGATTCCTCCAGTCTGGCCTTTCGCATGATGTATTCTGCATATGTTAAATAAGCAGGGAGACTATATATAGCCTTGTCATACTCCTTTCCCAATTTTGAATCCATCAGTTGTTCCATATCCAGTTCTAACCGTTGCTTCCTGTCCCACATACAGTATAGATTTTTCAAGAGATAGATGAGGTGGTCAGACACTTCCATTTCTTTAAGGACTTGCCATAGTTTGCTGTGGTCCACACAGTCAAAACACTTTGCATACTCAATGAGGCAGAAGTAGATGTTTTTCTGGAACTCTTTGGCTTTCTCCATAACCCAGCGCATGTTAGCAATTTGGTCTCGAGTTCCTTTGCCTCTTCAGAATCCAGCTTGTACTTCTGAGAGTTCTCGGTCCACATACTGCTGAAGCCTGCCTTGGAGGATTTTGAGCATAACCTTGCTAGCGTGGGAAATGAGTGCAATTGTACGGTAGTTGGAGCATTCTTTGGCACTGCCCTTCTTGGGGATTGGGATGTAGACTGATCTTTTCCAGTCCTCTGGCCACTGTTGAGTTTTCCAACATATTGAATGTAGCACCTCAACAGCTTCATCTTTTAAGATTTGAAATAGTTCCACTGGAATGCCATCACCTCCACTAGCCTTGTTGCTAACCATGCTTTCTAAGGCCCACTTGACTTCACTCTCCAGGATGTCTGGCTCAAGGTCAGCAACTACATTGTCTGGGTTGTCCGGGACCTTTCTGGTATAATTCCTCTGTGTATTCTTGCCACCTCTTCTTGATGTCTTCTGCTTCTGTGAGGTCCCTACCATTTTTGTCCTTTATCATGTCCATCTTTGCACAAAATGTTGCTTTGATATCTCCATTTTTTTGAACAAATCTCTGGTTTTTCCCTATTATTTTCCTCTCTTTGCACTATTCATTTAAGAAGGCCCTCTTGTCTCTCCTTGCTATTCTTTGGAATTCTGTGTTCAATTTTCTGTAACTTTCCCTATCTCCCTTGCATTTGGTTTCTCTTCTCTGCTATTTGTAAGAGGTCATTGGACAGCCACTTTGCTTTCTTGCATTTCCTTTTCTTTGGGATGGTTTTCATTGCTGCCTCCTGTACAGTGTTATGATTCTCTATCCAAAGTTCTTCAGGCACTCTGTCCACCAAATCGAGTTCCTTAAATCTGCTCTTCACTTCCACTGTGTTATTCATAAGAGATTTGGTTTAGATTATACCTGACTAGCCCAGTGGTTTTTCCCACTTTCTTCAGTTTAAGCTTGAGTTTTGCTATAAGAAACTGATGATCAGAGCCACAATCAGATCCAGGTCTTGTTTTTGCTGACTGTATAGAGCTTCTCCATCTTTGGCTGCAGAGAATATAATCAATCTGATTTCGGCATTGCCCATTTGGTGATGTCCATATGTAGAGTCGCCTCTTGTGTTGTTGAAAAAGAGTGTTTGTGATTACCAGCTTGTTCTCTTGACAAAACTCTATTAGCCTTTGCCCTGCTTCGTTGAGACGCCTAGCCCAGTCAAAATTTAAAAATGCTTTACAAATGCCACCAATTTTAAGTAATAGCAATAATAATCCATTTTATCAGCTGTAAGTGGGTGGGTGGGGGAGCAGGTTTTTAAAGGTTTCAGAGAGAGAGAGAGACACACACATATCAACCTTTAAGCAAAAAGGATGCAGGGTGCCATCTTGAAAACAAACTTATTTCAGACCAAGACTAAAGGTATGCATAACCAACTCTATGACCCATTTATCATGTTTTGGACTACGGCTCCCAGAATCCCCTTTTAACATTTCTTAACATTGCCAAGCTGGGCACCACGTCTTTGGATTGTGGTATAAACTCATAGCTACAGTATGGAAAGAGACACCATTCTCTCTATTAAGGCCCGAAGGAAAGGAATCAAACTTCACTCCTGACTCGAGTTGCTGGGAAAGAAAGGGCAAGCCACAAAGCAGGAGGTGACCATGTTTCGGGGTCCCGAGAGGGGAACCCTCAACCTTTAAGGGTGGCACACGGCCCGTTTCGGCCACCCACTGACCCACCCCAGATCTACTGTACAGTATATGCAAAATTGATGCTGAGCTACCGAGAAAGACAAGTTCCGAACCTAATCGATCGATGGTTAATTAATGAATTAAACGTGTTCTCTTCCCCTTCCCCAGCAGCTCAAGTCCAGGAAGGGGGCTCTGAATCCTTTTCCACCCTGCGAGGTAGGCTCAGCTGAAGTGACAACAGATCCAGGGAGCTTGGAAGGGATGGGAAAACTTGAATCTGGGTCTCTGTGGTCTGAACTGGAGACTCCATAATGTCAAACCATTTTCATGATCATCTGGAAAAATTTCCTATTTACCCAAGGGGATCCGCTTCTTGCTATTTGTAACTACGTTTCTAGTCTTCTCTGTTGAATCTCCTAACAACCAGGGTCTCCTCTTTGTCTCCTCCTTCACACACACAAGCCCGTGATCCTGATTCAATTTATACCTGCCTAAAGCAGGTGAAGCCTCCTAAAACATCAATGGAAGCGAGGAATAAAAAAACACCAAATCCAGGTGAGGAAGCTGGGAGAGGCCTGGAAATGTTGGTTTGCCCCAGTCGCCCATTTACGGTATCTGCCAGCCTTCCCCAGCTGGCTTGCTGAGGGTGGTAGTACTCCGAGATAGCTGGGGTTTTGCAGCTTTACAGAATACCTGTACATGTTATATATCAAGACTTTAATAATGTAGCTTTCCCACCCAATTATAACTCGCCAACTTCTTTGCAAAAAAAAAGAAAAAGAAAAAATGCTTGAAGTGGGAATAAAAAGCAAAGCAAAACAGAGGGGCGGACAATTTAAAGGCTCCAGCGGCGAAGGGGGTGCTAGTCCTCATGGAGGAGAGAGAAAAAACAACAGCAGCCAAGAAAATGACATAATAGAGAGGCTTCTCTTTGGAGCAGAAATGCCCCCCAGCAAAACAAGGGGGCAGCAGCCGAAAGAGCTTGGCTGCCCTCTGCTGGAGGCCTCTGTAAAATCACCATGGGATTTGTTTTCTTTCAATTGATGCAATTCTTCCTCTTCATAAATTAATCTGGTAGGGTAAGGGAATCGTTTTAAAGCGTATGTTTTTGTTCCAATTTCTTTTTGGAGTTTTAGGGAGAGAAAAAAAACAAACACCCAATGCAGACACTCTTTGGCTCACTTCTGGTTGGAGAAATGCTTCCAACCTTGGCTGGAAGCAGAAAAAGAAATATATATAATCCCAAAATCTAAGCCTCCAAAATGTGCAACTACAGATACCATCATCCTTGTCATTGGCTGTGCTGAGTGGGGCTGATGGGAAGTGTAGGAGGAATCATGGGCCACAGGTTTCCCTACGTCTCTGTAGCTCCATTTCCTGCCTAAACCCTCCGAGGAAAAAGGATCCGGCGAAATTTACTTCTTGAGTCCGGATCCTCCCATGGACGGGCCCGATCCAGCTGTCCCTTCTCCTGTGAACCAATCCTGTTAGACGCCTGGCAGCTTTCTTCAGAGTAGCATCACTTAAATCTTAAGGGAAGGGGTGACACTTTAGCTTTCACTGGGGGCGGATCCTGCACCCACCTATTTAAGAGTAAAACCCACCCACCCACCAAACTTGGATCTTGCAAATCTACAAGAAGTTATAAATACTTAGCTTTGCAAAGTGGAAACACATTATTATTAAACACAGAACATTGGAAGAAAGGTGGGTTTGCTACTTTTCTTGCCCTATAACAGGGGGAGGAAGATAAAAAAGGGAACATCACCCCCCCAACCCAAAACATGGTTTCCAAAGAATCACACATACATATTCAGTAAACCCCCTCCATCTAAAAAACTTACCTGGGAGTACTCTTGAATTTTACTGCAGAGCAGGGAAACTTACTTTTTTTTTTTTTTGCAAACCCGCTTTCGCTGGATTTTCTGATATATATATATATTCTCCATGGGGTATAAAACTAAAAAAATAAAAGTCATTCACCTGATTCAAGTAGAGGGCGATAATGGACAAGAACCACAGCTTGAGGCTTCTTTTTGGTCTCTGATCTCTTGAGAAGGAGATGATGACGATGGGGGGGAGGAAAGAGAAGAAAGCGCGCCTTTTTCCAGGCAGTTAAAAGAAAAACAGTAAAATCAATCCGATTTTTCCCCCAATTATTCCAGATGCTCCTGGTCAATCGGCGGAGGTTGCAGGTGAAAAGCAGGAGATAAAAAATATATATAATTATAAATATGTATATACTTATAACCGCGTAAAAGAGAGGAATGATCTGCTCGGTCCGCCACTGGCGCCAAAAATCCTTTTTACGCCTCCCGGGTTTGGAGTTTGGCGGGGAAAAACGCCGAATGGCGTTCGGAGCCTCCTGATTGGCTGGCGGTGGCGGGAAAAGGGGGAAGTGGGCGTGGCTTGCCCGGGGCATTCCATTCATGACTCTAAGCCGGACAGGAGGAGGGAGGCCGCGCTTTCTGCGCATGCGCTTCGCTAAAACTCGTTCTGAAACGGCTACGTTCTTTTTTAACAGGAGCGCTTTCGTTACTTTCGGCGATTAGCTTCCTCGGGACTTTTTTTGGGGGGAGCATGGGAATGGGCTTCCCTTTAAAGGTTTGGGAGGGGATCCACTACTGATGCGAGGGGAGAAAAAGAGGATGTGGGGAATACTCTGTGCATGCTCAGAGGACCTGCAAGTAAGCCTCCAAAAGGTGTAGGCAAGTGGCGGTTAAAGGCATCGACGCCTAGGGAAAAAAAGATACAGAATTACATACCTTAAGAAACACCTATTTATTTGACATTTGCCTATTGGGTTTTTTCCAGTGCCTAAGTACAGAAATGAACTGTAGTGTATTGGGGAAAAAAAGAATTAAATTAAAATGGGAATTTAAATCGAAATCTCTCTTGCCCGGAGAAATATCTATGATCTGGGAGGGGTTGGCTCTCTAGCCCTGTTAAGATCCCTGCTGGTCTCTCTTCTTTGGACTTAAAAACAAAACAAAAAAAACAGTAGGTTTCCACAGGGAATCGGTTTTAAGCCCCCATCCCACCCCACAGATACTGAAAAATGCGGAAACAGCAAACACATTAAAAGCAAAAAGCATGCTGCTTATATAACGCCCCATAGCACTTCAAGCACTCTCTGGGCATTTTACAAGTTAATTATACAGGCTACACATTGCCCCCCCACCCAGCGAGCTGGGTACTCATTTTACCGGACCTCCAAAGAATAGAAGGCTGAGTCAACCTTGAGCCGCTACCTGGGATTGAACCCCAGGTCGTGAGCACAGTTTTGGCTGCAGTACAGCAGTAAGGCTCTGAGTCTATACAGTGCATTGCATTGTCTCTGGCTCCCTCTAGCGGCTAATTTTGGAAAATACATGCAAGGAAAACATATAAATAGGTATTTCTGGGTTTTTTAGTATTTTCAGCCAGCAGATTAGAGAAACAGTGGATACTGATCCCGCGGATAGAGGGTCCTGCTGTATTTAAACTGGACATGGCCTGGGGAAAGCCTAGTTAACTCCTTTCTGAGAAGTGTCCTCTGTAAAAGGGAGGCATGTGGCTACCTTACATGATTTCCAGGCTCTTTCTCATATGCCCCTCTCACTAAAACAGGAGAGGAGAGCATGTGGTCTTCTGCATGGGGGTGGACTCCAGCTCCCATCAGCCCCAGGCCAGGACGGTCAAGAGTTGGCAATTATGAGAGTCAGAAAACAGCAATGGGCCTGGTGACAGAGTCTTCCTCACCGGCGCTTCAAAACTTTCCTGAGAGGGGTTGGCACAATCAACTTTCTCTTTTGTGCATCTCACACTCGCTTCTTTGCCCCCCAAGGATGGCTGCGGAAGCCAAAGTCCCACTGATTTAATAGGCCTCCTCTATCTGGGGGCGGCTGTCTGAGGCATGGATCCTGTGTGCTCCTTTCCGCTATTTCTTAACTCCCGTGGATCAGATCTGCTCAGGTGCCTGGGGTGGATCGTGAATAAAGGATCGTGAACCCTGAGAATAGTGTGTGTGTGGGGGGGTTATTCTTGGACCCCAAGGCCCATCAGCCAGAAGGCCCCGTGGCCCAAAATGAGGGCCCGGTGCAAAACAAACCTGGGAAGCCCAATCCATTTTCTTCTGCACCAGAGGGCAGGACTGGAACTCAGGAAGCTACATTTTAACTGGAATTGGTTGCATTGCTTATCATTTCTGAGGGCCCCAATTGCCATCATCATTGTGGTTATTCCGAGTTAATTCATTGCCTTGCATATTATGAACCACATGGCCATCCTTTGATTGCCCACAGGCCAGGAAAAGGCCAAGAATTATTCTCTGGCTCCCTCTCGTGGTCGATTTTCCCATTGCACCTTGGCCACCTTGTTTAAATTTTATTTTCAGTTGAACCTCTGCCATGGCAGGATACCCATTCTGAGCCCCACCTCTGCGGATGCTAAAAAACACGGATGATTGCAAACACTATTTTCCTAGTGAATGCTATACATAGCACAGTCTCTGGCTCTTTTTTGGGAGCGGTTCTGGTAACATCACCTTTAGAAATAGATATTTCTAGGACTCTTAATATTTTCAGACCGCGGATTGGTGAATCAGTGGATACCGAACCCACAGCTAAGGGGGTCCCACACGATTTATTCCTTTATTTAAAATATTTTCACCCTGATTTTCCCCCTTCAAGCTAAAGGCCAACTCTTTTCTGGGCTGTATGGACAGAGCCCGACCCACACTTCACACCCATCATCCCTCCCATTATCCCTGTAGGGAGTGATGATGTCACAAAAACAGCAGCCGCAGAACCATCACAAGTTCCGGAGGCCTTTGGGGAGGCGGGACCCTCCATGTCGGTGGTGAGGTCGATCGAGCTGGTGATCCCCAAGGAGGTCTACGTGGCCGGCTCGGACGTGGCCGGGCAGCTGGTCGTCCGGCTCCACAGCACCCTCGTGGACCCTCTGCTGAAGGTGGAGCTGATCGGCCGCGGCTACCTGGAGTGGATTGAGGAGGCCGATGGGGAGAGGGACTACCACCAGCAGGCCACGTGCGTCAACCGGGCCGATTACGTCCACAAGACCAAAACCTTCCAGATAGAAAGTGAGGAGTGACACACACACACCCCCAGCCGTGGGAGAGAGGGGTGGGAACTGGGGGTCGGGGTGGTTTCCTCGTGACACAGTGGTTAAACCGCTGTACTGCAGCCAAAACTGTGCTCACGACCTGGGGTTCAAATCCAAGGTAGCCGGCTCAAGGTTGACTCAGCCTTCCATCCTTCCAAAGTTGGTAAAATGAGTACCCAGCTCGCTCCGGGGGGGGGGGGGCAATGGGTAGCCTGCATAATTAACTTGTAAACCGCCCAGAGAGTGCTTGAAGTGCTATGGGGCAGTATATATAAGCAGCACACTTTGCTTTTTTGCTTCTCACTAGGGGCGCCCGATTAGGGGGGGGTCGGCCACGGACGGCTTTGCGGGCCAAATGAGGCTGCCAGGCAACCTCTTTGCTGTCCTCTCTGCTGGGTTACTGGGGTGTGACTCGTGACCCCAAAAAGTAACTTTGGAACTGCCCGTTCCATGGCTTGTTCCCCAAAGTAACTAGTGACGTGTCATTGTTTTCCTGGTCGCTGGTTGCTTCCCAGCTCTGGGAGGTTTTCCTGTTGGGGAGGAGAAGGTCTGTAAAGGGCAGCCCTCCCTCGTTCATCCAGGTGCAGAAGCATGGGATTCGGAGTGGCGGGCCCACCACTTATAGAGGCCACCCATGGTCCGAGACGTTCCTGGGATCTGACTTTGTTTTCAGAGGCCACCTTAAGATTCCCTGAGCAGGACCCGCCTTGTTCCACCTGTGGGTTTGAATCTCAGAAGTGCTGGGATTCGAACCCACAGCATTCCATAGCGTTTCCCTCTTGGGCCTTCCGGGCCTTCCTTCGGGCAAAGCAGGTGGCGAGGCAGGTGACAGACAGGGCGACGGTATCACTTACGACACACACCGTAAGCCTGTCCTTGAGGTGCTTCGCACCAAATCACTGGAATTAATTACTAGGCTGATTAACGAGGAATCTAGTTATGGCACTCTTGGAGGCGGAGAGGCATTGGGTCTTGTTCCAAGGATGTCACACAGGACTGGCATGCCGTAAGTGCCTTTTTGACAAAGCTGGAGAGGGGACTAAGGAGTCCCGAGTTCGAATGTCAGACATGAACTCATCCGGCATCCAATGGACCATTGGAGCATCTTCTCTGTCCTGGATTTTTTCCCCCCAAATACGTTTCTGCAGAATTTAAAATATATTAAACTATTCTCCCCCTTTGCCTTATACAACTCCGGACGGACTGCAATGAGCCAGCGAAACTTGATTTGAAACATTGAGGACTAGAATCCTGCCTGCTCTTTAGAGTCGGCTGGCATGGCTTGGCCTGGAAAAGGCCAGGCTTCCCACACGCCCTGGAGTCCTCCTAGAAGCTTCATAACTACAAACCTCAGCATCCCTGGCCCTTAGGTTGGAGACGATGGGAGCCGGAACCCTGCCACCAGTGGACAGATGAAGGGCTCCCACCTGGTTCTGTGGTGTTTTGGAGGCCGGTCAACTTGACCAGGATGCTCGGTGGCATGGAGTGGATGGAGTGATGGACTAGGATGCTGGGGAGCCGAGTTCGAATCCCTGCTCAGCCACGGAAACTCACTAGGGGGCTGGAATTGTTCTGACTTCACATGCACACGTGCACACACACACACACACTGGAATTGTTCTGACATCACACGCGCGCACATACACACACATACTTCACCAGGTTTTTTGCTTTGCTTTGGCCTGCAGGAAACTGGCTGGGTCCCGGCGTCCATACCTTTGACTTCCATTTCGTCCTGCCTCCCAGCATCCCGTCCACCTTCACCAGCCGCGTTGGACGGATCTCGTACTACCTGCAGGCCCTTTGCGCCACCCGGGAGCTCATCCTCAGGAAAGAGAAGAAGTACATCCTGGTCCAAGGGATCTCCATTTTCCGCCAGGACACCCTCGAATCCGAAGTAAAGCCTCGGGACTCTTTTGCCCTAGAGGAGGGGGTGGGCGGGGGGTTTTCACAGAGAACAAATCAGGCTAGCTCTTTAAAATCCTGAAACAAGGTGTCGACAAAACTATTTTGGTGTTCCCCATCCACCATCTGAAAAATAAAAAATAAAATAAAAATTTCAAATCCCTGCAAGTTGAAATCTAGCATATCAGGGAGGGGAGGAAGTCTCGCTCTGTTTTTACTGTGCTGCTGGATTTCAATTTGCAGGGATGGTCGTAGGTTTGAATACGAATGCTAGCATAGATCCATATAAATCTATATAAATGTTCAGATAAAAAGGAAATCTCGAGCGGTACAGTCACCCTGTCGCTTCGGGGGGGGGAGGTTTGTTTTATCCTTGGAGAGAACTAGAGACTTGGGAAAGTTCTATGAAGAGGGAGGCTTTTCGCCAGATGTTCTTAAAGCTGGGGGGTCGGCAACTTGTGCCCCCGGCCAGGTGTTGCTGGAGCTTATAGAGAGGAACCGACGAAGCCCTTCTGGGATCAAAAGTCCTCAAAACACGGAAGGCTTCCGGGTCGATCCTTCAGTGTGGATTCTCCGACTTAAAACACCATCCATGGGGCCAAAAATATAGAAAACGTTGGAATCCAAACAGCGTGTGCAACAACCATATGTATTTTGACTGCTACATATTGTCATATTTCGTAACATTGATTCATCAACATAAGGGTGATGTTGCAACAATTTATTGCACAGTCTTCAAAAAAAGGTACGCAGGTTTCTGGGTTTTTGGACGATGGTTCTCAGGATTCTGGGCATCGTAGTTCTCAAAGCCACAAACCTGCCCCCCGCCCGATTAGGAGCACATCGCTTGCCTAATAATGCTCTAACAAGTCAGGCCGTACGTGGCCCTTCGGGGGATGTGGGACTCCGGCTCCCAGGAGCCCTAGCCAGGATATCCAAGGGGAATGGTTGCTGGGAGATGTAGTCCCACGGCCTCTAGCGGGCCCATTTGGCCCACGCCCGAAGGCTCTCCAACGGCAGAAGGCTGTGGGCCCAAGGGGGTCCCTCCCGCCTGCTTTGCAGCCGGGTGTCAGGATTCGAACCCTGAACCCCCACCACTCTCGCCCACCAATCCCCTCTTCTTTCCTCCCGAACCCCTTCCAGTTCCCTTTAGTGGTGGAAGTCCGGAAAGTCCTTCTCTACCACTGTTGCTTGACCAGCGGGCCTGTAACCCTCCGGATGTCCCTGGCCCGGAGCATCTACGCCCCCGGCGACACCATCCCCTTCACCACGGAGATCACCAACGAGACGGGCAAGTCCATCAAGAAGGTGGTCTTCGCCCTCCACTCGGTGGTCCTCTACAAGGCCTTCAACCTCCGGGCCGAGCGGCGGACCCTGGAGCAGCGGGAGGAGGTGGCCCGCCTGGAGTCGCCCGTGGCGAGCGGCCGTGGGGAGGTCACCCGGATCCAGAGCACCCTCCCCCTCCCGGAGGTCCTGCCCGTCAGCAGCGACGCCCATGGGCCGGAGGACATCATGGAGGTCGGCTACGAGCTGACCGGCATCGTCCACTTCCCCTGGTGCCTGAAGAAGGTGGTGGCCAAGATCCCCGTAGTGGTGAGGAACCCGGCTCCTGAATGAAAGGCCCAGGAGGCTGCCCCCGACCCTTGACCTCTTCTCCTCCCCACACACACACACTTTGAATTTTTATATATACAGTATATCATATGTAATAATTACATCAAAGAATGCTTATTGTTTGACAGCAGGTCTTCTTTCTAAAGACATGCATCAAGTAATGCTGGAGTGACCCAAATCAATTAAAGTCCAGGATACGTTTATGTTTCAATGGATCTGTGTTGATTCTCTCTGTTTGTTTGTTTTTATTCTCTGTTTGTATAGATCATGTTACGCCTGATCCATCCATCCATCATCAGCTCCTTCCTTCCTTCCTTCCTTCCTTCCTTCCTTCCTTCCTTCCTTCCTTCCTTCCTGCCTTCCTGCCTGCCTGCCTGCCTGCCTTCCTGCCTTCCGGCTTGATTTGATCTTAGGCCTACCTGTTTGTCTTTTGGACAGTCCTGCGGTATCCGCTAAGCTCTCCTTCGCCACCACTTTTCAAACAAATCAGTTCCCCCCCCATCAGCTACCTCAATTGTCCAGCTTTCATACCCACACAGGGTGATCAGAAACACAAGAATGTGCCTTATTGTCGCCTTGGTCTCCAGGGACACACTCTTACAACTTGAGGATCTTTTTAAGTTCTTTCCTGGCTGCCCTTCTGAATTTCAGTCTTCTTTTGATTTCTTGGCTACAGGTTCCCCTTTAGATTGATGATTCGGATTGATGATACAAAATCTCTAACCCTTTCCTTTTCTTCATTGTCGAGATTCAAACTGTGCAGTTCCTCTCTAGCTGTCCTTTTGATCCTCTTCGTCCTGTTCAACCACAGTCCAGCTCGAAAGGCAGCCCCCCAACTTTTGGGAGCCCCAGATTTCCCAGCTCTGTCTTTGACGGGTAAGTACTTTGAGAGTAGCAACCGTTCCCCCCCCCCGATCGTTCAAAAAGCTTTTATTACAAGAACATTTCATAACGAGCGAAGACAGAGAAAAAGAGAAAAGTGAATGACATTCCATTACAATCAAGTTCATCAGAGGCCAACCGGAACAAGAAGGAGATCACATAATAGTGTCGCCAATTCATCTTCCAGAATTATTTTTTTCATTAATCAATTCAAGTGAGCTGGTTCTGGAGTGGGTCTCTGGGGACCCCAGACTTCAATCCCACCTGTCCCGCTTTGTGCCCTGTTTTAGGCCCACTGGGTTGGGGCACGCCTGTTTCTACGGATCCAGGAGAGCCGTGGATCCTGGCGGGTCCCGACATTGCACCTTCGTTTTGCAATTCACGCCTGCGCCTCCAGTTGCAATTGGGCCGAGGAATGGAAATCCCGAGTGGTTTGCCAGGTTCCTGCTCTTCCACCCATCACATGCTTAGCAATTACCTTTATTAGCAGGTGCTCGGGCAGGCTGGCACAGGCGGGAAGGAGGTGAACGAGGAGAGGAGACAAGCACAGGTAACCGAGAAAAGCTGCTCCCTTAAACTGTTCTCTTTAACTGGGAAGCTCAACCGTGTCCTTCGCATGCTGCAGGATCAGAACATTTGTGATGATGATGATGATGATGATGATGATGATGATGATGAGACCTTTGCTCTCCCGAAGTGAAACGGGGCTGGATGGGAATCCTATCCAGGTCGGAGAGATGGGTGGAATTCCGTCCAGCCTGTTGCGATCCAAATCGATTTATTTCATTTATCTCCCCTTCCTCCTGGGGGCTCAGGGGGAAAAAAACTGGTTTCTTCAGACTTAGGACAGAAAGAAGTTGGGAAGTTGATTGCTTTAAACGGGAATGCAGGAGAGATGATGATGATGATGGGAGGGGAGAAACAGTGACTTTGAGAAAGAGGCTGGGTGGTTTGTCCTGACGGGTTCTGTTCTGCATCAAATTAGGAGCAGAAAGGAGGTACTCTGCGGGTATGGCTGTGGTCGGGAGGGTGCCGGGGTGGAGGCCAGCTGGAAAGGCCCAACCAGAGAGGCTCGGAGGAGGGCTGACGCCTCTTGCCCAGGAGGGTCGACTGTCTGGCTGTGGAGCCAGAGGTTGGGAGTTCTCACAACCACCCTAGGAGGTAGGCCAGGGGCCAGAGAAAGGAAAGGGGTCCCAAGTGCCTTTTTACGCACAAGGGCGACAACGTTCGGGCCCAGGATCCCGTCGGGTTTCCCCCAAGGCTTGTTTTTTTGGCATCTCTGGGCACCCGGCGCCTTTACGGAGAGCAGGGTTCACAGGGTAAGGCGGAGGTTTCCACCCATCTAAAATCAGGCACAAAGAAAGCAAGAGTTCAAAAGTAAGACATTGAAGAAACGAGGCTTCTGGTCGTCCGGTGCCCCGTTTGTGGGACTCCCTGGGGGTGGGATCAGCTCGTTTGGCTCGTTAGGGCACTGTCCTAAACGGTTTCCCTTCGCCAGACTCTTCTAGAGCACTGCTGTGGTAGCAAAATAGCCCCTCCATTAACAGGGGTAGTGTATCTTGAATGACTAGCTAAGAAGGGTTAATTTGCCTCCAGCCTTCCCGTCCTTGTTTGGGAGCTCCTTAGAAGCCTCAGATTAACTCCTGTTGGGAAACGGGACGATTCCTCTGATCTCCCCACAAGGAACTGGGACGAGCTAAACAAAACCTCCATGGGCTGGGGCAGCCTACCTCCGTGTGCCACGGAGAAGCTGCTCGGGAAGAAAGATTGCCCTCCCACCTCCGAAAGCCACTGGGTGAACTGGTCAATGATTTCCTCAGTCTGTTTATCTCTTGGGAATTATATAAACCGGACTGTGACTGTGTCTGTATGTGTGTTTGTTTGCGGTATGGGAAACCAGGGCAGTCCGACCCGGGTGCTGTTTGGGTGAGATCCAGGCTTCCCTCGTTCGTAACCATCCACCCATTCTAACGCAATCGTTGGCAACCACAGACACCCCGTGATAAAGTTACTCAACACAATCTCTTTCTTAAGTCTCGTCCCCTCCCCCCTTCCTGGTCAGCCTCATGCCAGAGATGGGAGGCTGCACAAGACGGACAGGTGTCTGGAGCCTGTAAGAAGAATTGGCCTCTGTCTCTGAGGATCATCCAGTCCAGCCACCATCAGGGCAGCCCAGTTTGGGTGTGTGACCCTCTCCTGAATCTCGTTGGCAAACCAGGCAGGGGTGCTGGGCTCAGCTGGGCAGCGGGGCCCGGTGACTCTGATGTCAGTGGGGCCTGAATCCAAATCCGGGTTTTACTCTGGAATGTCCAACGCACCGGATCTGTTTTAGGGTTCAGCATTCTGTAGAGGTCCTGTAAAGTTCAGGATAAACCCAGAGCAGATACTATGGCATCAGAACCATTTCTAGCAGCGAAGCCGCCTGAACCTTTGCCAGGTCCTAGAACGTGCCGGCAAAGGTGCAACGAGATGCTAGATTTCCAAGAAGTTACATTTTAAAAGGAACTCTGTGTGTTACTCATGCCTGCTCATGAACCAGGTTGCTGTTATCATTATCACGCAAGCAGCTCGTTGCATTGTGCATTATAAACTCATTGTACTCCCATTATCACATTTTAAACTAATCTTTTTCAACTTTTTAAAAAACCACTAACCACTTTGATCTTTTTGATTTAACTTCTGCCTGTTGAATATGGATATACTTTTAATTTTTTAAAAATGCAATGACATAGCCTAGCATGGTTTTAACTGTATCTGTGTTTTTTGTTTTTTGTTTGTTTTTTAATCATTTGAGATTATATCCTTACCCAATAAGAAAGCTGGAGTGAAATGGAAATCAATCAGGAGAAAAGTTTTGTTTTGTTTTGTTTAATCTGACACCCTCCCGCCCCCCACAAATTCGAGGGGGTTTGCTCTAGCAGTCAACGCTGATAATGCATTTTTTAAAAAATATAGTAACAGAAAAGAGAAAACTGAAGAATACGTTCCTTGTGCTTTGGGATCAATAAGAGGATAGTAGAGAATCTGAAATGGGTCAGTGGTTTCTGTCTCTACTCCCCTTCCAGCCCTGTGATTCTATGATTCTAAGGACCACGCAGCTTTCTTTCTTTCTTTCTTTCTTATTCATTCATTCATTCATTCATTCATTCATTCATTCATTCATTCATTCATTCATTCATTCATTCATTCATTTGGAACTGTTGGAAGTTCCTTCCGCAACACGACTGCCAAGAATCGCAGCCAGCGCTTTGCTCCACAGCTTAAACCAAAGGCGCTCCGTTTCCAGAGCTCCCTGTGGACTTCCCTCGGACTCTAGAGGGGTTTGCCCCATCCGAGCATCTTTTCCTGTAATTTCTTCTTTTTTGTGACTCTAAAAAAGACTCCTGTAGTAGCTGAAGGGAGCTGTTGTGTTTGGGCTGTTCTTCTGCTGTTGTTAGCTGGCTGGAAAGCTCAGTGGTGTTCGTCTCTGGCTAGGTTGGGAGTTCGAATCCCCCCACTGTGTGCTTCCAGGAAGAAGAGCCAGCCTGGGTGGCCTTGGGGGCTCAGCTGCACCCACCCAGAAGACGGGAAGGGGGAACCACTTTGGAGAACTCTCTGTTTGGGAAAACCAAGTCAGAAGGATTTATTATTATAAAATCTGGGGGAGGGGGGAATGCTTCCTGAATACCTGTTAAAATATCCTTAAATGTCCTCTAAAAGTATATGTCACTTGTTAAACTTGGAAAAGAACTTGGTAAGTGCTAGTTGTATGACTTGTCGCCCTACCAGGAATTACGGTAGTTACAGCCCACTGAGTTACTTGTGCGTAGTTTACTCTCAAGCTGTGCCAGGCAACAGAGAGCAATCGGAGGACGGGGTCAAGCCCGTGGGCTCCAGGAGTAAGCCGCCTGTTGTGTCTCCTGCGCTCTCCCTCCAGATCCACCTGGGTGTGAATGAGGGGGAGAGAGATGGATCGGGATCCTTTTTGGCAATGTCAGGGTCCTCTTGCAAAAATGGACCTTATTCCAAGCAGAGGCTCTCAACCCTTCGCTTGTCTTTCCTCATTGGGATTACTTCTAGAGTTTGTGATCTTGTGATGGTGCTCACCGCTGGGGTTGCCAAACTGGTCGTGCTTCTCTGGCGGCCGTGTGTGGGCGGCCGTGGCGCCTGATGCATTCTTGAGATGCGCGGCGTAGCTTCGCCCAGGGCCCCAAACCTGAAGTCCTTCCCGGCCTCTGTGGGTTTTTCAAGCACCTACAGGATGATGGAGCTTAAATCTGGAAGACCAAAGCATGGGGATGGATGGCCAGCCACTGAGGATGAGCAGAAAATAACAGAAGCTTGTCCGATCTTATTCATCAAGATAGACATGCGTGCAAAGAAGAAGAAGAAAAAAGGTCACAGCATAAAATTGTCATGTCCTGGTTACTCGTACCTCCTCTGCGCTCCGATTGAGTGAGGTCAGAGAGGAATAAAATGCAAGATGTCTTATCTGTGGCCATATTACGAGAGCCTTAATGTATGTAAAATAAGCAGTGAGCCATCAGAAACATCCTGGTGTTGATACGATAATCAGCAGTTGGGTTTGGGGGGAAAAAACAAGAACACACCCTTATCTTGATCCAACCCACAGGGAATAGGATTGAATTTCCTGATCCGACCTCAGGCAGAGCCGTTCCTGTCGTCGGCTCGATCGGTGTTCCTGAAGCTGGGTTTATGCCTTTCTTTTTCCGCCTTTAGACTTAACGCTTCGCTTACGCCATGGCCAGCAATGTGAAAGGCAAGAGCTCAGAGGCCCCAAGGACGGAGGTAGGTAAAAATATACCCCGGTGCTATAAGTATGGTCCCAAAGTTGGAAGTCCTTTATCTGTTTCCTGAGTTTGGGCGAAGCTGCGCGGAGCTGTAAGGAATCTTCCACTTGGTTTGCTGAGGCTTGGGCCTGAAATGCCGACTTCTTTCGTCCGGGGATCCTGGCGGTGACGGAAAGGGCTGGCTGCCCAAAGACTGGCCAGGTGTGACCCATGGATCCTTGGGGTGGGGGCAGGAAAATCTGCACAGGAGATCCGGCTTCATCTGTCCATCCTGTAAGGAGAGCCTTGATCCTGGTACAGATGGGGAAAGCTAGATTTTTCTTTTTTCCAACTGTAACCTCTAGAGAATATTTCCCCCAGCTAGGCTGGCTGTGGGACCGAGAGTTAAGACGCCATAGTGTTGAGAAGTCCCGGGTTCAAGATCCGGGCAAGGCCATCGCCTGAGACCCCAAAGAGAAGAGGCTGGGTTCTCTTTGAGGGCACTGCCGTGGGGAGAGCTGAGCAGGGAAGGCATCTGGCTTTTTAGGAAGGGTGGGAGATCCTTAATTCGGGATGGAAAGAGATGCGCAGAAGCAGGGGATTTGCAAAGGCTCTCCGGACCGAGGGTAACGTTCTTCCGCCCGCTTTTTCCCAGAGCGTCGTCACCCGGGTCGCCAGCCTGCCGTTGGTCACCTCGACCTACGACCTCTTGTCTTCTGTGTACGCCTACGCCAAGGAGAACTACCCGTGCATCAACACCGCCTGCAACGTGGCAGAGATGGTGGCCTCGATGGCTGTGGGAAGCGCCAAGGGCGGCGTCCAGCCCCTCGTCGGTCACCTCGAGCCCCAGAGTGAGTGTCCTGTTGGGCATTTTCATTCTGGGAAAAAAAAGTACCATCCCATCCCAAGGTCTCCCCCTACGAGGCCTGCTAGCATTGAAGGATCGCTCGTTCACCGCCTCTGGGGTGAAGGCAGAGGCCGGGGTCCAATTCGAGCTCTCCCTTAGCTCTAAAGGGCAGGGGTGGGGTCCTTATATAGACCATCGCGTCGCTTCCAAGTTTCGGTGATCAGTGAATGGGTGGCTGGAGAGCTCAGGGGTGGAGATTGCTGGCTGCAGAGCCGTAGGTTGCGAGTTTGAATCCCCCACTGTGTGCCTGGGTGGCCTTGGGCCAGCCGCACCGTCCCAGAAGAAGGGAAGAGGAAAGCGCTTCTGCGTATGCTCCTCCTGGAAACCTTAAAAACGGTTGGCATAAGTCAGAATTGACTTTCTATTACATTATTATTATTATTACTATTACTATTACTATTACTATTACTATTACTACTACTACTACTACTACTACTATTATTATTATT